ATATAATATATAAATATATATTATGTATATTTGTGTGAAAAAACCCATGGTTTTAATTACTGAAGTATCCAAGGATTTGCTGCCTCTGAGCCTTTATCTGCTATATCTCGGTCAAACCCCATAAGGCTGCATTTGAAATCACACTGTGCTAAGAAAACAAATGATTAAAGCAGAGCAAGGGAGTCAGGGGATTAGTTTATTCTGCATGGCCTTCAGCAAGTCATTTTTAGCTCTGAGGCCCTAATCTTACAGTGAGCCTGGGGCAGATGAAACACTTGAACGCCCACACAAAGCACACTTAGTTTTCCCTCATCTGAAAATGGCAGTAACACCACATGCCTCTCTCTGAGAATCATTAATCTGCATTAAATGCTTGGAAATGTGAAGTTTTAAAATTATTAAGTACCAAACCAAATTAACATTTTGCAACGCCATTGGAGTCAGTAAGGTAGAATGACAACACAAGCACCCATTGTATTCAGCTCACAATCGTCCCTGGAAAAACCTAACGCTAGGAAGCTGTAATAGTCTCTTCCCCTCCTAACGACCAGCTGTAACTACAAATAGAATACAAAAGATGAGTGACTAAATGAATTAGTCTTGAACTGCATCTTCTCTCTTCTTAAATGCAGGAAGCCTACACAGAGCAGTTTCAAAGGGACTAATGAAGGAGAAAAGCAAGCTCCAAGATCTGTCCTCAAATTGCCCAGCCTTTAGACAAACAGTACCCATTTTGCAAATAAAGGAACAAATCTTGCAGCTGCCATGACTTAGAAAACACCCTTTAAATTAAACGTAAGATTTGTCCTTCATTAGGGCCATGACAATTTCACTGTCATAAAAGTATTATTCATTCTGTGTATTTAGCATGAGACACTTCATTGCCTGCCTGTTTTTTATGGTAGGTGCCAAGTCTGTATTAGTCTTCCAAGTACTTACTACTTTTTGTACTAGTTTTCCATTTCAGTGCATGTATGTGTATGGAGTTATCTTATAACAATACAAGGATTTTATCTGCCCGTGAGACAGCTGCATTGCAAGTCCTTATTAGAAGTAAACATAATCTAAAAATGTACTAGAAATTTTAAAGTGGATTCTCAGCACCCTCTTGTGGATTGGTGGTGTGGTAACTACCAAGTATTAGTAAAACTTTCATTACAATTCAGAGCTACAGAAAAGTTATTATTTTTGCAGCAAAACTACAATAGGGAAGTTAAATGTGAATGGCCAAACTTTGTAGTTTATGATTATTTTTAATACTTGACTAAAACCTGTATCTTTAGTGGAAGCATCTCTTGTGCCACATTAAAAAAATCTTGTCATTTATGCACTGGCTCTCATACAATATATGAACTGTAATACTATTAGTTCAGTGGTGGCAGGGGATCCTGTTTCTATTAAAACATGCATCTATGCCCGCAGGCCTAGTCAGGATCAAAGCTGTTGTCATTTAGGAAAACAACTGCCTGTGGCGGCCACACAGAGTAAGTTCCTTCCAAGAGAAAATAGGATTCTTGCTCTGCTTATTAAGATGCCAGCAGCCAGAAGCTCTTCCAACTCAGCAGCACATCATGGCAATGCTTCTGTCAGGTCTGGGAACAAATAGGAGTCTGAATGCTGCTATGGGGTAGATGTGTTTTTCTGATAAAGTGGCTTTCCTCCCCCACGTGTGTGCTTGCAGTAAAATGCTGTGTGGAAGAGGACAGCGGTAGAAGTACTTTTTTGTTTTGTTTTTGCATACATATGTAAGGAATGGCCAGTATCTCCCTATAAGCAGCTCTTTTTGACATAATTTACAGATCACACTAGGTTTTTGAGTCCAACCTGAAGAATTCACAGAAGCCAAGAAATACCGACACATACACTAAATACTTCTAATTACACGTGAACAAATCTTTCCCCAAGTCACCCAGATTCATATTACCACAGCTATGTTTTACATGTACCAGAATTTAATGAGTGGTGTGACTTCTGTGAAAACATTCAGACCATACATGTGGTAAGGATTTGCTTGAACAAAGCAGCTTCCAGCACGTTTTAACCAAATCCTCAAAGCAGTTTCAGTGCCTGTCTAAAATCATAAGCATAACCAGCAAGCGTTAGGAATGTGATCACACTCACACTGAATTAAAATATGCACCAGGTTTCCTGAGCACATCTGTCAGATTTTGTTCCTCTAAGGAACCCACAGGTGCTAAAATATGCTCAGCATTCCAGCTTTCCTGCCTTTTCATTTTTTTGGACAGCAGCGATACAACTACAGCTCCAGGTATATTGAAAGTTAAGATGTTTTTCCTCACATGCAGATAATATGATTCATATTAATTGCCACGGTTCAGTTCTGGAAGCACAGTTCTGCAGATATGCTAGCTACTACATCTAGCCTATGCCCTTCACTTTCAGATCACCCACCTCTGAGAATCTCAATAGTCTCAAGTCTTAAAATACCAAAAGGGTTTTAAAAAGGATACCTCTCGTTCACCATGCCTAGTATCTACCGCAGGGTCCACGTATCTTCCACATATGTAACACTGATAACAAAATACAAATTCCCATCAATGTGGACTTCTTCCCTTTGGCATTTTAGCAAATTTATCTGCTTTATTTTTTCTTAGGAATTATGGTTCAGGCACATACATACACAGTTATCTTTGAGAAAGTTAACACTAGATACTAAAATACTGTAAATTCAGTTGTGATTTTGTTCTATCTTACTTTTTCAAACATATGAATTCTAATATATTGCTGTCTATTAGTTCTGTGTTCCCTTTGGAACACTGTATGCTTCTGTTGGATCCAGAATCATTTGTGCAGTTAAATGCAAAGCATCTTCAGAAGCTATTCCT